ACTTCTAGTGATGTCTAACCCATGGAGAAAATGATTACCTGTATAAGCATGTCAAATGGTACTCCCATTAGAAATTGCAAAGCTCCAAAATAATATTTTTATATACACTAGTAAATTTGTTAAGGCTGGTACAGGTCTATAAAGGCTATGTGCACCATTAGTTACTTCGTGCACTCTTCCACTTGATTATTACTCAAGTAATTCACTTGATATTTTCTCCTGTTTTGAAAACAGGAGTTAGAACAATCAAATCTGAATAATAGTGCTTTTTTTAAATTGTATAGGTGCTGGAGCTAGAATTGTGAAATGAGTGCAGAATGCATAGAACCCTAATAAAATTAAATGCCCAAGGGAATAATCAGGAAATATGCAATTTTGTTATAGCTATGGAACAGGAAAACTTCCCTATTTTGATGCACGTTTGATGCGCAGTTACTCTATATTTCATTCCATTTCTGTTGCACAGACTAATTGACTATAACTTTCCAAATTACAATTCTGCAGAATTCTTAAGCCATTTCGATACAGTTAGCTTCCCCGTACAAATTTACCATTACTTCTGACAGAACATAATTTTGTTTCCCATAATGACACAAAATATTTGACATTTCAGATCATAAGAAAAGTGAGTTTTCTAAGTTCATGTAAAAAGAATACCCATTCATGGTGTAAACTAATGTGTTTTAAATTTAAATTAAATTCCCTTACCTTGAATACCATGATAATATGATTCTTTTAATGATCTGCATTACCTGTCATCTGAGGTACTAAATTAATATTCTGCATCTGGCCATATTAAAGAAAAAGAAGGTGCTGAAATTATGTTGAAAATGAGGATAATTGAGATGCTGAATGGGCTAAAAGTTGATAAAGGAGTTATTGATTATGAAAGCATGCTGTGCTTAAAGTTGATAAATCATCAGGTCTGCACAGGATGTTTCTGAGTATATGGAGGCAGTCAGAATGGAAAGTGCATACAGACTGACCATAACCCTCCAATCCTTCTTAAACCCAGCAAATCTGAGCCAGCCAGTTTAACCTCAGTGCTAGTAAAGCTTTTAGGAATGAAAACTTGAGACAAAATTACCGGTTAACTTAGCTAAATGTGAAATGAATAAGGAATGCCAGCACAGTTATATTTAAAGGTAAGTTGTGGTTAACCAATCTGAAGACTGAACCATGCATATTTTTGATGACAAGTCAGGAACTAAAGACTAGCCAGACTAAAGATTGGTTATTCAAACACTGGCAGCCAGGACAATGTTCAAAATTATGTAATTTTTCAACAGCTCATATTTATAACACACCTTTAAATGTGGTAAAATGTTTTAGTGCACAGTAGTATTGTCATATGAAATAGATAATATCAGGTGAAATTCTTGAAGAACTAGCTAGATGCCAGTCATAGGACACAGTTTACCAAACTTTGCAAAGGGGATTCTCTTCTGAGACTGAAAGAAGATGCAGGTACATTAAATTGTGGTTAGATTGAAATTGGATTGGGTTGAGAAAGTGGCTAGCGGTCGCTGCTTCTGATGTGTAAAAGACACATGCAATAATTGTAGCTGATGAGAAAGTATGCAAATAAAAATTATTATTGACTTCTATTCTCCATCAAATGACAACAATCAACACTTAAAATATCGAAACTCCTTATACTCATTTTCCTTGCTTACTTTACATGTAATTTTCTTCGTATAGTTTCATTGATGAAACCACTAATCTATTCTTCCATCATCCATTGCTGTGTGCCATCCTGAGGTGTCCCAATGAATTAGTGAAACAGCTATTTACCCTAATATCTTTCTAAATTATTATTTTCTTCCATTTCACATTGTTTAGTCTCTATAGCACCTATTCATGTATTTCTTAATCTATCCTGAAACAGTGTATTTAATGTTTAAACTGATTTATTGGTATAAATGGAAATATGGTGATACATATTTGGAGACAACTAACTTTCAATAAACATTTAAATCAATTTCTCTGAAGTCAATCCTGTTAATAATGCGACTTTTCAAATTCATCCTTAGGAGGGCACTGTACACTAATCCTATGCTGAACAGCATGGTTTCTGTTATAAACCTTATAGAACCTTTGCTCTACTGTACAGTTCTGTATTATGATAATGCATATCGTCAATTCTGCTAATCTTATGCTTCATTAACTTTATATACTAAACCAATATAACCTTACAATTTTGTTCAGACATTCACATTATGTAATTAGACAAATGTGTCCTTGAATAATCTGAATTTGTACTGAACTGCCTCTTCTGTACTATACTCATCCTTTACTGAAGTACCAGATTGCTATCAATTTTGAATGATGCAAAGTGTTTAAGATGAACATTATGCAAATTTGGCAGGGTAATCTTCAGTTAGGTGTTTAACTGACTCTGGGATGAGGTACAATCTCTCTCATATCACTTGATCTTCGCACAGTGTGACATACAACTTTAGTGTGGTATGAAATCAAGTTTAAAAGGTACTAAGAAGATCTTGATTCTTTATAAGTTTAATATTGAATTTTCTTAATGTCACAGGAATGAAAAGCTCCAACCCGCAATCTAACAATAAGACTATGTCTATTCAGAAACTAAGATTCGTACAATGAACATGGAGTGGTCTCACTTGAGGCAAACAATCATTCCCACGCAGCGGTTTAATTTTGTTATTTTCCAAAGTGCTTCACGTTCTAGAATATGGAAGTTCAATATATAGGCAGCCCCTGGGCTCTGTAAATTGGCTTCAAGAGTCAGTGGTAACTCATTTCTACCTGTGCATTTATTTATTTGCTGTCTTGGTTGAATTTTGTACTCCTGCACATTTCCTTATTTTCAGCGCAGTGGCTGCTTCAGTGGTGGATTAACCTAAATTTGTAGATGAAGACCTGTTGGTATTAGGAAGATGTAAACAAATCTATAGGTGCATTTTTTGTGGCCACAAGAGTTTATACTGAGGATATCCATGAAGGCAGGAGTTTAGATACTTTAGGGATACATTTCTCAAACGAACTCTGCGGGAGAATTAAAACCATAAAGTAAAACAATAGAGTTTTGTATCTACTATATTTTAAAGTGGCTCTTTACAAATCCTACTTTATCCCTTTCTATATTTTACTTATTTTGCATTAACCACATATTGTATTATGCAACACTGTTTCCAGGGTATTAAAGCTTAGTCTACTAACTTCATCCACTAATCCCATATTCTATCCAACTGTGTTACATTGTATACCAGTATCAAATTCTGGTTGTACGAGTTTTCTAAACTGTACTTGCTGCTTGAATCAGCACTTCAAATTATACACAAGTTTTCAGAATGTTCACTCCAACTTATTTTATGCACGTATTATTGCATTTGGTTAAGAAATATTGCTTTGACCAGAAATTAATTTGTGTTGCACAAAGTTTACTTTTAAATTGGCTTGAATTCTTATTTTCCATAAAGTCAAATGGAATAATTCCTACTCTACCCTCAAAAGCTCAGAGAAGGAAATGTCAATGAGATGAATACTTTCACCAAAGAATCATGAACAAGACTGTTTGTTAAAAGGCAGCTAGCACCAGGCAACCGGTGGCAACGACCAAACTGAACACCATCATTAATTAGCACAGGCAGTATTAACAGGCAAGATCCTAATTTAAAGGGATATGGCCATAATTGGGCAAAACTCCTGTTTCCAGCTATGTTCCTCAAACTTAATTAGCAGAACCAAATTTAGGAACATGATCGGCACCATGGTAATGGCACGAAAGAAGTAGAGTTAGATAGTTCACTCATCCTAACGTTATTTCACCATTCCTGATTTAAGGTTATTTAACTAGTGGAAATATTAAACATATTCTGGTCGTGAGCTATTCAGGTTATAATATTACGGTAAGTTTTAATGAATTTAGTTAAATGACTATTTTAGCAAACGAAAACCAGCGCAAGCAACTTCCGGTTCTGATTTTATCACTGTTATATCCCTTGGGATACCATTTTAGTTTGGGTTGAATTTTTTTTCCTGATTTTCATTTTAAAAGCAGACCTTCGAATTCTTACTTTGTAACATAGACAGGCACAATAATTCATGCCTAAAACGAACATCACTCGTTCCAAACACTGTGCTAATGCCTGTCAGATATCATCTGCACCTATTCTATTTTGTCGCTTGACCATTGTCTGAAATGTAGAATAAAGGCAAAATACTGCGGGTGCTGGAAATCTGAACTAAACCCAGGCAATGCTGGAGAAGCACAGCAGGTTTGGCCCCATCTGTGAAGAGAGAAACAGAATTAACATTTCGAATCTGGTATCACTTCTTCAGAACTGGAATATAGGAATGTGTGCCCGTGTGACTAACATGAAGTGTGGCATCACGTAAAGGAAGGAAGGGAAATTTTTTTTTATAAGTATGGTGCACTCCTAAATATCTTTAATGATGTGGCTTTGTTGATCTTAAACCATTCTACTTAAACAAGCATTCACATTTCATTTGTGCAAATATTGATCTTGATCAATTTCTCTTTTTAAACCCTTACAGTTCGATTCCCGAATTTCCCAACTACAAAACAGGCTGAGTGTGAGGATGTTCTTTTAACAACACATTCTCTCATTTTCAGTTGAATGACTGGCCAGCAATCCTACCCTTTCCTATTCAGGACAGATAACGATTCTGAATCTACACTGTGACACCATCTAATTTGTTGCTGGAGTGGGAGCTTCGAGACCAGAGAACTGAGCAAGCAAATTAGCCCAGCAGGATCGGATAGGGACGAGGCAGATATAGAGGGGCAATTTCTTCAGTCCAACTCAGACTGTGAACTGAGGTGAAGGGGGAGGGGTGTCAGAAGACTGGAAAAATCTAACAAGTGGAAAGGACCGCACTAGTAGTCAGAGGGCGGCGCGTTCGGGCGGTTCAATCACAAAAGTGAATCAATTCCTTTTCTATGGCACAGTATGAGAGCGTCCGCTCTATAAACCTCTCATTGGCAGGATCTTCACTTCCTTGCGGCAGACACCTCACAATCTCATGTGCCAAGTGGACAGTGTGTGTTTAACTATAAAAAAAATCTATCGAGATAACTGCCTCACAATGCAACACGGGCATTGCCTGCTCAATAAGAAATTATAGGAGAAACAGAGATAGAGAGAGAATCGGTGGTGGGGCGGAGGTTGGGAAATATCTTTATCGCGGAGCAAATCTGCTTGCAGCGCCGAGAGTATCAAAACACTGTGCAGATTAAGGTGTCTAAATCATATCGCAGTCCCTGGCACCAAGTGATCGCGGGAAAATACAGTCTGGTCCGCATTCATTGTTTAAAATGGGAAGTTGTTAGATCATTCATAGAGAATTCTGCACGCTGTTCGTTAGCACCCCCTCCCCCTACCCAGAATAAAAGGTGTGTATGTATGTGTGTCTGTGTGTGTGTGCACTGCAAAGGTATTTAGTGGGTCTGCTGCGTTTTCCCAAACGAACACGCCCAAATAGATTCGGTAGATATATAGAACCTGGGAGAAGATCCAGCTCTCATTGTGGGAATGCCTAGACCCTGTGCGATCTCCAACCTAGCCTCCCATTGCAGTCTCCATACGTGTGACACGCATACAGATGATGGATAATCTGTAAAAAAGAGTGCAGGATATCGATTCTCCACTGGGATTTACAATACACGCTGGTTTGAATGTGGGTGCACGGTAGCTGAGATCACAAGGGTCAGTTGGTTTCTCAGTAACTTGGACTTGTTTCTGCCTGGAACTCTGATTAACAAGCAGACGAGAAGAATTGCATTCACCACACAATTTTAAGCATGAACCGAAAAACGCGGCGCTGGCTCTTTCACATTTTCCTCTGCGTGGGAATCGTGTATCTTAAAATAGGGTAAGTGACAAAGATTGTCGTGTCTGCATGTGCCAATGTTTCTCAGTGCAAGCGCTGACGATATGATTGTGTTTTTGTGTCTGTAATAACAAGGTCTGCCGTGCTGCTTAGATCCTGAAAACTGACGAGCACAAGTTGCGTCTGCCCAGTGCATGCCAGCTCCGATCCATTGGGAAAAAGTTTATTCCATATTGAATGGATAGAAACAGAACGGTGTAAATCCACGCATACATTAAGCGTTTGGAAAAGGCGGCGAAAAACTATTTCATTATCCGGTCTGGGGCTGGAAAATCAATCGATAATGGCATTTTGCGTTTACCAAGTTGTCAATTTGGACTCAAATGCACCCGATGCCACCGGACTTACCCAAACTTCCCATTCTCTAGCTCATAAACAGTTTTTATTGTGATTGAAGCCGAATCACAATGCAATTAGAAGCGTTGCTGAGGAGAGCGGTTCTGAAAAAAGAATAATGCACAAAGTGGAGCAGAAAACGCGGTTCCTTTTTGACATTGGGGGCTGCTTCGATTCTCCATGCTTTGATATGGAGACGGGAGCTAACAACCAGCACAATGGGATAGCTGGGGCTTTGCACGATCGCGCTCTATGTTCCGTACGGTAGATCGATCACCACGTACAAATGGGATAGAACTACCTTGCTGTATTAACCCCAAGCTGCTTCTCCCTTTTGCTTGTAGTACCTGGCTGGTCAGATCACTCCGAGCAGCTCTCTTTACAACGTGCACGGAGAGATCGGGTATCAACGTAATGAAGATCCGGAGATTAAAGGGTGCTTTCTTAGGGATGTTAATGTATGAAACCAAATGTTAGAACTGTTCTAATTTGTGAAATAGTCGCTATTGGTCCAATAACAGCCCGGTGTTATCATTCAATTGAATATTTTAACAAGTTTGATTGTACATCAGCTTCCACGTTGATAGGTGGATATGATTAATTTAACCGGTTGGTATCAGGATGCAGTTTGGATATTAAAATGAACTCCATTTATTTTCGACCACATTTCCATGTTTAGTTGATGTGGGACTGTTTAGCAGTCAGTGAGATATATACTTTGTTGCACTATTTAATAGTACACTGGGAAAGCTCACATTTGTGTTTGGTCAATTAATACCTCCCATAATTCTTGGAATATTGTGAGGCTATTTCTGGAGGTCTCAGCGCGAACTGTGGGCATAACTTTAACTCCAAGTGTTCATCGTTTGTTTGTCTTTTAGCTGATGTGTTTGAATCTAGACATTAAAACTGAAGATCTATAGAGAGAAGGGGAATTCCGAAAGTCCTGGTCCTTGCTCTGGAGAGTTGAGGTCGCTCAGAGTCCAACTTATCGAAAGAAGAGGCCGAGTTAGCTGATTGTTTCACTCGACGTGATTGAAACCCATGCAAATGAGGAGATAATTACAACAAGAAACTGTACAGCCTTCTCGGAAAGCAGCTAGATATGACTTTAGAATGATTCAAGCAGCAAATTCCGTTTTTTGGTGTTAATAATTATCGACGGTGTTTGCTCTCTCTGTCTCTCCTAATATCTGCCCGTACTTTCCACAGGGGATTCTCTTCGGTGGTGGCCCTGGGAGCGAACATTATCTGCAGCAAGATACCGGGTCTGGCGCCTCGTCAGCGGGCGATCTGTCAGAGTCGTCCCGATGCCATTATCGTCATTGGAGAAGGGGCTCAAATGGGAATCAATGAGTGTCAATTCCAGTTCCGATATGGGCGGTGGAACTGCTCTGCACTCGGCGAAAGGACTGTTTTTGGCAAAGAACTCAGAGTTGGTATGTTAGAAAATGCAAACTCACCTGTCTATTCCA